GCTCCCTTCGCCTTAGCCATAGGACATAGCTTGAGTTCAGCGCTGCTTGGCGACAATTCCTCCGCAAGAGCCTGCGCTGTTCCTTAGTGCAGCGCAAGGATCTCGCGAAGGAATCCAAGCTGGTGGATATGGCGCCTCTCGCTCCCACCTCTGCTGTGTGACTTTCCGTCTCCCAGCCATTCCTTACACACGCGTTATGAAGGTGACGATAGCGTTCGATTTTGATTTCGCGCGATTGTGCAAAGCGATCTTCACTACATACCGTGAGTTCCAGCCACAGAACTCTTCTCAATTCTTTGGAGAAGAGCACTATGTCTGGACGACAGGTTGTAGGTGCTATGAAGTGGGGGAAAACAAGTTTCTCATCCTTCATGTCCACCAGGACCTGCCAGTCTGCTGAGCTAGTTACGAATTGGTCATTTAGCCGTTTGCGTTGGGAGGGGGGCTGTTTGGGGAGATTCTCTCCTGCCTTGCAGAAAGTTATGTAATCAATTCTCTTCTGATTACTCTGCGTTTCTGCTGATGCCGTGGCCTTTTGATAAGTTTGGATGGTTTCGTTTACTAGTTTTACTATGCATTTCAGTACGTTGTCGTGGCGCCAGGTATATCTGCCCTGGTGGAGGGCTGTTGGACATGCTGATAATATGTGACGGAGCGTAGCTTGCCTGTTGCATAGAGGGCATTGTTGTTCGACCACAGAGTTACCCCACCTCCTCAGATTGTCAACTGTTGGTAGTGTGTTTAATACACAGTTTAGTTGAAAGGAGAAAGTTCTCCCGTAGCCTTCGTACAACAGTTTTTTCCAAGTGAGGTCTTCAAACATCGTGTCTCTCCACTTTAACCAGCTGCCTTGCATTTGCAGGCTTTTGAGGTGGGATAGCTGGTCTTGGCAGTCACCTTCATGAATGGTATTGAGTATTTGTTTTCTAGGTTTGATTTTCTCTTGTTTGTCATGCCTAAAGCCGAGTCCTGTCCTGCCTTGCTGGAGGTTAGTTGGACTAGCTTCAGAGATCGCTGCCTCGGCACATTCCATTTCTTTTATTGCGGAGTATTGTCTTGTGAGCAGATACTGTTGTTTGCTGTGATGTTGGTACAGGTTTGCCATGTTCTTGTCGCTGCTGTTCTTGATGATATTCCATCTAATGACCTGTCGTTGCTTCCATAGCGTAGGGATGTACGTTAAACGTAGGCCGAAGCGCTCCCGAGCGCCGATGAAGAGTATTGCTGGTGCTGCGGGTCTGGGCAAGCCTGCCCATTTCTTTAAGAATGGAAGGCAAATTCTGTGTAGGAGTTTGGCGAAACTGTGGCTGAGATCAAGTATCTCGAGCTGCCATGCTATTTTGGGGATGATTTGATGCTGGTAGAGCCACAACTTCTGGTGTCCGTATAGTCTGGTCTCGGCAACTGTCTTTAGTAGGCATCTTGTGGAGTTTATGAGGTCTTCGCGTTGCGTTATCTCACCTACTGTATCTGTTAGCATCCTGCCTAGAAACTTGAATTGTTGGCCGTTTAGAGCTGGTATTGGAGTTTCCGATATTCTGAGTGCGGGGTCAAAGCAGGTGTATTTGTTGTTGGTCAATTTGGCTGCGTACGACCTGCATTTGTGCGGGGCCGCCTGCATTTTTGACCAGGCAAGGAAACTATCAACCAGATCTAACTTCTTCTGCGCACCATGAGTTCGATTGCTGAAGACTGCTAAATCGTCGGCGAATCCAGTGTTCGAAGCAGTGACAGTTGTGTCACGGAAACTGTACGAAAGGGCTTGGATCGGTTTGGTCTGAAGAGAATCAAGTAGAATTTGGAAACAGATGTTGAATAGAATAGGGGAAAGTGGGCAACCTTGAAATACGCCGATGCTGTACCGGAAGGTCTGAGTGAGTGGTCTTTTAATGAATGCTGTCAGACGCTCATAGTAAGAGTAAACAAGGTTCCTGATTTTCAGCGGGATGTGGTAGCGTTGCAGTGCCCTCTGGATCAGGTTGTGTTTTACTGAGCCAAAGGCGTTCTTTAAATCGATCCATACCATGGCAATCGAACGCTTGTGGCGTTTGGCGTCTTTCATGGCCTCGTGACAAAGAGTGGCGTGTTCAATACAACCGGACATACCCGGCAAGAAACCTTTCTGGGTCATGCCGTCAAAATACCCATTCGTCAGCATGTGGTGAGTCAGAATTTTTGACAACATGGCGAAGAAAATCTTGCCGTCACAGTTGGATAGGGCAATTGGGCGAAATTTCGCCGGGTCAGAGTCATTGTCACTTTTTGCGAGAAGCGTTACTGAGGCGCACTGCCAAGACAGCGGAATGGATCCTGTCTTCCAGACTTTCTCGAAGATATTGAAAAGAATGCCGTGCAGACATTTGCACTTTTTCCACACTATGTATGGAATACCGTTTGGACCGGCTGCAGATTTGTTTCTACATTTTTTCAGAGTGTTCTGGAAGGCTTTCCAACTGGGGCTGTTATCAGATAGTGGTGTGGACGGTTTACTCGTAGCTGGACAGAAATCTGGATCCGAGAATATTTGCTCACGAGAGGGATCTTCATAAAGTTTGGAGAAATACTCAAAGCAGGCCTGTTCCGAGAAAGTTGGTGTTACACGTGATCTGCTTTGGGACATGCGTTTTGCAAACCCGTAAGGGTCCTTAAGAAAGGCCGTCCGCTGTTTCTTCGCTTCACGGTCTTGCTCTTGTATTTGGATGATCTTTCTCAGTTTCTTGATGTCTTTTTGCACACGGTTGTAGTCTGATCTGATGGTCTCAACCTCATGGACGGCAAGCCTATCTCTCCTTCGATGTTGCTTACGCAGTGCACGGCGTTTGATGTAGAGCTCAGTTAGGCATTTGGACTGACGTGGCTTCTTCGACCTTCGCTCTGGGGTGGGTTCAGAGATGGTGTGGTCGAGGAAGAAGAATCTGAGGAACGAGGTAATCTGATCAAGTGAATCGTCTGGATCGTTTTTTCGTATTTTTGACAATGGAAACAGGCGTGTGATATGTTGTTCTAGTTGTGTGTTTGTTTTTTCCCAGGCCAGGCTTGACCTGGGAAGATTGAGCTTGCTACTGTCCTGCTCTGGGCTTTTGTGGTCTGAGAAGAAGAAGAAGAAGAAGAAGAAGAAGAAGAAGAAGAAGAAGAAGAAGAAGAAGAAGAAGAAGAAGAAGAAGAAGAAGAAGAAGAAGAAGAAGAAGAAGAAGAAGAAGAAGAAGAAGAAGAAGAAGAAGAAGGGAAATGCTCACCATCAAATGGTGGATAAAAACCGTTTCGACTGCTTTTTAGACAGTAACGGGTAAAGAAAAAAGGAAAAAGAAACTCATATAATGCAATTCGAAGAGATAGGCCCCCAGTACAGTTGGGGTGTGGTTGTGTCCGTATGGTATGGTGTGTCATGTACAGGTAGTTGCGTTGTGATGTATGGTAATTTGTAGGGCGAATGTCGAGAAGGCTATGAAAATAACGATTCGACAAGAACAAGTGACTACGAGAGGTTGGCAAGGTTGGCGATCGTCCACCCCCGGCCCTTTAGAGGCCGGAATGGCGAGTTCAAATCTTGATTTTAAGGACGTCCAACTATCCTCGCTGGGTGGCCGATCGCCCACCAAGTGCTCTACAACAGGTTCACCAAACAGTTTAAGAAGAAGAAGAAGAAGAAGAAGAAGAAGAAGAAGAAGAAGAAGAAGAAGAAGAAGAAGAAGAAGAAGAAGAAGAAGAAGAAGAAGAAGAAGAAGAAGAAGAAGAAGAAGAAGAAGAAGAAGAAGAAGAAGAAGAAGAAGGGAAATGCTCACCATCAAATGGTGGATAAAAACCGTTTCGACTGCTTTTTAGACAGTAACGGGTAAAGAAAAAAGGAAAAAGAAACTCATATAATGCAATTCGAAGAGATAGGCCCCCAGTACAGTTGGGGTGTGGTTGTGTCCGTATGGTATGGTGTGTCATGTACAGGTAGTTGCGTTGTGATGTATGGTAATTTGTAGGGCGAATGTCGAGAAGGCTATGAAAATAACGATTCGACAAGAACAAGTGACTACGAGAGGTTGGCAAGGTTGGCGATCGTCCACCCCCGGCCCTTTAGAGGCCGGAATGGCGAGTTCAAATCTTGATTTTAAGGACGTCCAACTATCCTCGCTGGGTGGCCGATCGCCCACCAAGTGCTCTACAACAGGTTCACCAAACAGTTTTAATACAAAGGCCAGTCGCGCCATGTTCGCTCCCTTCGCCTTAGCCATAGGACATAGCTTGAGTTCAGCGCTGCTTGGCGACAATTCCTCCGCAAGAGCCTGCGCTGTTCCTTAGTGCAGCGCAAGGATCTCGCGAAGGAATCCAAGCTGGTGGATATGGCGCCTCTCGCTCCCACCTCTGCTGTGTGACTTTCCGTCTCCCAGCCATTCCTTACACACGCGTTATGAAGGTGACGATAGCGTTCGATTTTGATTTCGCGCGATTGTGCAAAGCGATCTTCACTACATACCGTGAGTTCCAGCCACAGAACTCTTCTCAATTCTTTGGAGAAGAGCACTATGTCTGGACGACAGGTTGTAGGTGCTATGAAGTGGGGGAAAACAAGTTTCTCATCCTTCATGTCCACCAGGACCTTCCAGTCTGCTGAGCTAGTTACGAATTGGTCATTTAGCCGTTTGCGTTGGGAGGGGGGCTGTTTGGGGAGATTCTCTCCTGCCTTGCAGAAAGTTATGTAATCAATTCTCTTCTGATTACTCTGCGTTTCTGCTGATGCCGTGGCCTTTTGATAAGTTTGGATGGTTTCGTTTACTAGTTTTACTATGCATTTCAGTACGTTGTCGTGGCGCCAGGTATATCTGCCCTGGTGGAGGGCTGTTGGACATGCTGATAATATGTGACGGAGCGTAGCTTGCCTGTTGCATAGAGGGCATTGTTGTTCGACCACAGAGTTACCCCACCTCCTCAGATTGTCAACTGTTGGTAGTGTGTTTAATACACAGTTTAGTTGAAAGGAGAAAGTCCTCCCGTAGCCTTCGTACGAGAAGAAGAAGAAGAAGAAGAAGAAGAAGAAGAAGAAGAAGAAGAAGAAGAAGAAGAAGAAGAAGAAGAAGAAGAAGAAGAAGAAGAAGAAGAAGAAGAAGAAGAAGAAGAAGAAGAAGAAGAAGAAGAAGAAGAAGAAGAAGAAGAAGAAGAAGAAGAAGAAGAAGAAGAAAGGCATATTCAAAGGAAGTAGTGCTTACGATAGCGAATGCAGCAGGCAAAAGAAGAATATCGCGACTTAATGAGTGAGTGGGAGCGAGAGACTGGGTGATTGCGAGAACAAGCGAGAGTGAGAGCAAGTGAAGGAGAGAGCTCAGTCTAGAGTCTGAGTTGAAGCAGAAAAACAGACAGAAAGACGTGAAGGCAGACAGACAGAAGGACTTACAGGAAGAGAGACAGAAGGACTTACAGGCTCAGAGAGAGACAGACAGAACAGATTCTCGCCGCGATCCAGTGTTGATCAATCATGGCCATCATCATCACCACCATCCTGTGTCCATACACAATAAAACAACAAGACACAGTAATAACTAATTGTACTGCATGTGCAGTGATGGCAACTGGTGTAAGCGACCTCTGGTTTTAGTGACGTGACCTTCTGACAATGCGGATCACTGCGGGTGTGTTATCTAATTGCCTAGAAATCTATACTGGAAGACCAGTAATGTTAAGTTGTTAGCGAACATTTAATTGTAACGAGTTTACGAATTTGAACTGACTGCCCGCCCATTGCAAGATGAATGGAAAAGAAATTGGGGAAAATCCACTAACACTACACTGCCCTACCCCTATCGCATTACACTGCCCTACCCCTATCGCACTACACTGCCCTACCCCTATCGCACTACACTGCCCTAGCCCTATCGCACTACACTGCCCTACCCCTATCGCACTACACTGCCCCACCCCTATCGCACTACACTGCCCTACCCCTATCGCACTACACTGCCCTACCCCCATCGCACTACACTGCCCTACCCCTATCGCACTACACTGCCCTAGCCCTATCGCACTACACTGCCCTACCCTTATCGCACTACACTGCCCTACCCCTATCGCACTACACTGCCCTACTCCAATCGCACTACACTGCCCTACCCCTATCACACTACACTGCCCTACCCCTATCGCACTACACTGCCCTACCCCTATCGCACTACACTGCCCTACCCCTATCGCACTACACTGCCCTACCCCTATCGCACTACACTGCCCTACCCCTATCGCACTACACTGCCCTACCCCTATCGCACTACACTGCCCTACCCCTATCCCACTACACTGCCCTACCCCTATCGCACTACACTGCCCTACCCCTATCGCACTACACTGCCCTACCCCTATCGCACTACATTGCCCTTCCCATATCGCACTACACTGCCCTACCCCTATCGCACTACCGCCCTACCCCTATCGCACTACACTGCCCTACCCCTATCGCACTACACTGCCCTACCCCTATCGCACTACACTGCACTACCCCTATCGCACTACACTGCCCTACCCCTATCGCACTACACTGCCCTACCCCTTTCGCACTACACTGCCCTACCCCTATCGCACTACACTGCCCTACCCCTATCGCACTACACTGCCCAACCCCTATCGCACTACACTGCCCTACCCCTATCGCACTACACTGCCCTACCCATATCGCACTACACTGCCCTACCCCTATCACACTACACTGCCCTACCCCTATCGCACTAAACTGCCCTACCCCTATGGCACTACACTGCCCTACCCCTGTCGCACTACACTGCCCTACCCCTATCGCACTACACTGCCCTACCCCTATCGCACTACACTGCCCTACCCCTATCGCACTACACTGCCCTACCCCTATCGCACTACACTGCCCTACCCCTATCGCACTACACTGCCCTACCCCTATCGCACTACACTGCCCCACCCCTATCGCACTACACTGCCCTACCCCTATCGCACTACACTGCCCCACCCCTATCGCACTACACTGCCCTACCCCTATCGCACTACACTGCCCTACCCCTATCGCACTACACTGCCCTACCCCTATCGCACTACACTGCCCTACCCCTATCGCACTACACTGCCCTACCCCTATTGCACTACACTGCCCTACCCCTATCGCACTACACTGCCCTACCCCTATCGCACTACACTGCCCTACCCATATCACACTACACTGCCCTACCCCTATCGCACTACACTGCCCTACCCCTATTGCACTACACTGCCCTACCCCTATCGCACTACACTGCCCTACCCCTATCGCACTACACTGCCCTACCCCTATCGTACTACACTGCCCTACCCCTATCACACTACTCCTTCTAGTCCTACTGCTTGCTAGCTAGCTACTGCAAGCCTTCAGACCGGCCTGATGCCAGCTGGGCTGCCAAAACCACGGAAAAACTATGGAGCTGCAAAAGTCCCAACTGGCCTCTGCCTGTACAGCCTACTGCTCTTTACTTACCCACTGGATCAGCAGCAGATGCTCCTGCAGACGCTAATGCGGCCTCAGCAGTACTGCCCGGCTGCCCAGAACTTGTCGACGGGTTCCAACTTGGCCAATAACCTTCTCGCGCTGGCTGGTGGCTCGACTTTACGGATGCATTCAAGGAAGGTGTGGAAGGATTCGTCATCACCAGTGCTTAGTGCATCGAGCAATTCCTCATTCTGCGCTGCACGGCCAGTGTTTGATGCAAATAGCTGACGCTGTGCACGCGTAATCAACTTCTTAGCCTCACACTGGCGACGCATATCACCTGGAGTTAGCGTGGAAACCAGGTCAGGCAGAAGTTCTGTGAAGACGTCACTCTCCCATGCTGTCATGTCAGAGAGCTGTTGGTCGAGAGACTCGTCTGAAAATGTTGGCACAACACACACATAGAGAAACAGAAATCAGAATGGTTTCACATCTATCACATGACCGTACGGGATAGGCATGTTGGGTTCAACTCCACTCATCTCCTGCATCTATGGGTCACATGACGTCGGCCATGTTGGTTCCGCTGGTCACATGACATGATCACTTTCTGCACAAATTCAGTCACATGTCCAAGATGTGGCCACAACTCCATACATTCTGGTCCTAAGTCTGAAGCTATTGACAAGTCATGCAAAAGCAGTGTTGGGCTTAACGCTGCTTCAGTAGAACCATCCGACACTAGGAACAGGCCTGGCCTGGACTTGACTTGATCCATCATGCAGCTCTACAGACTTGCGAGCGCCCGCTTCTGATGAGCATAAGCTTGTGCAGTGAAAAAGGTTTACAACTGACTCGCCGGGCCCCGCAGTGATACGACGGACCGCTTGCAGGGGCATCGGAACTGGTGCAGTAGGTGCGGCCAAAGTCGCAACAATAAGTTTAAGAATTCGGGTGGACACACCCATTCCCATAGCGCTGCACATCACATCCGAACCAGTTCCGTTATTTTTACAACGTTTCGGCACTTGGCCATCGTCAGGTAATAACAATGAATACCATGGAAGCCACACAAGAGCAGTATATACGCAGAGTGTAGCGCCAAAAAAGATGCGAATTATGTCACCTAGTATGCAGAAGGGGGGGGGGGGCAGAGAGAGAGAAAAGGCGCAACTAGCACATCACGGAGGAGAAGCAGCAGAAGGTAGCGCGCATTGTACTCTGTGAATGGCGTTACGCAGGTGAAAATATTTAGGGAAATGGCTTGCTGTTGTGGCCCCAGAACACATTTTTAACTGTCCAGCACACGCCCTACAACCATGTCAATTTATGCAGCAACCGTAGCCTTGTAGCCACGTTCTACAGTAACACTTGCTGCTTTATTCTATTCCAGGCACATACATCATATACCAATAAGAAGTCTACGAAATTGTAGCAACTACAGCTATACCATTTAATATTGGCATATTGTGCATGTAGAAAAAACGGAGGTGGTTGCCACTGAAGAACATTGCAAGGTCAAATATTACTCAGTTTGCGTTGAAGAATAACAATTACATTTGTGAATGGCTGAACTGAGAATACCCTAATAATTTCTCTTGGATTTCGTATCCCAAGTTCCTCTACTTGGCTGGATAAATCGCCTCTTGACTTCATCATACTGGAATTGGACTTGTAGATAATAGCGAGCAATGAATTGGTGAGTGAAGTATTAGTTTATTATAACCACTCCATTACTGCAATACATGTACGTAGAATACTCCAGTATAGAATCATATGAAGGTCTCTGGATCGGTTCTGGAACGTCCAACAAGCGAAAACGTATCCTTTGTGATGTCCTTGACCAACACTGTAACGGCGACTTGTCCCTCCGAGAGTGCAACGGCACTTGTGATTTTGAGTTTTGGCTCACGGACTATGACTGCAGCACAGTGACCGGCCGGCCGTGCATACTACATGCAGTCTGTCTGTACAGTGTGTACAGTGTGTACAGTGTGTGCGGTGTGTACAGTCAACCAGGCCGCATGTACTGCATGCAGTTGCAAAGCTAGCTGCCTAGCGCCTGTAGCAACCGCCGTTGCTACAGGCGCTAGCCTGTACACCGTACATACTCCAAGTCCATGCAAGCACACGGGCATTTTACAGCTCCATGTACGTAGATCTACGTGTACAAATGCCCGGCCAACTGGACTAAAAAGCGCTCAAAATAAAATAATCGGTTGTCCCTCTTTGGGAACAAAATCGGTCGGTTTGTCGGACAGGCGATCAAAAATCGGAGCAAGTGGCAGCCCTGCATGGGGCAAACATTTTCGTACCACTCACCCTGGATGCAAGCTTAACTATGGGCAAAGTGCATTCTCTGCAGTTGAAGTAATAGGAAGAGAGCCTGATCGAGCCCGTCGCAAACTGCGCGAGGCGATTGAGATTCGTGATGCCAAGCCCCATGTGAACATAAGCACCGGATGGGATTTTTTGTGAATTTTCTCAGCTTCCCCTGCTGCTACTTCAATATCACCGAATAATTATAATATGAGGCGGGTCACTCAAATCCATTCTGTTCCTGATGCCTCGTCGCGTCCCTGGTGGTAACAGTTTGGCATGGAAGTTTAACCTCATAGTGCATTGACGCATGGGGCTCCGTGCTCGCCTCCTGTAATGTGCTAGAATTAACACCATAATTATTTGGCATGTACCCTCACTTCGTAGAGCACAACGGCGCGCTCTTCTTCTCCGTGATGTGCTCAGTTGCACCTTCTCTTCCCCCTCTGTATAGAGGTGACATAACTCGCATCATTTTATTTTTTGGCGCTACACTCTGCGTAACGCCATTCACAGAGCACAATTCGCGCTACCTTCTGCTGCTTCTCCTCCGTGATGTGCTAGTTGCGCCTTTTCTCTCTCTCTGTCCCCCCCCCCCCCCCCCTTCTGCATACTAGGTGACATAATTCGCATTTTTTATGGCGCTACACTCTGCGTATATACTGCTCTTGTGTGGCTTCCACGGTATTCATTGTGTTAGGTACCTCCTCCCGTACCTTTTCTAGCTGGCCTGCATGCACTTGCGTACGCACCTTTTGTCTCCTTTTGTTCCGTTGGCCTGGGTAGCTACTTGCGCGCCCATATTTGCCATAGCTACCCAGGCCCTTTATCTTGCCGTTCAGACTTGATCTCTTTCTCACTCTTCAATGTAGTCGTTTTCGTTCGTCTTAGTCTCTTGTCTCGTCGTCTATAATAAATGTCGTTCCCCAACCTACCTGTTCCCGTTGTAATGTCTGGATATGTCGTCAGTCGTAATGTTTCGAACTCAACAATTGTTATTACCTGACGATGGCCAAGTGCCGAAACGTAAAAATAACGGAACTGGTTCGGATGTGATGTGCAGCGCTATGGGAATGGGTGTGTCCACCCGAATTCTTTTCACAGATGAAGCTGCAGGAAGCCTCAGCCCTTCTTCAAAATAAGTTTAACTGGTGATTATTGGAGCAATGGAATATTATACTCGAATTTCAGAAATGTTTGGTGCTCAATATTTTCGGTATGAGGGCAAGAGGCCAGGTTAAAATAATAATATTGGCCAGGTTAGGTGAACAGAAATTTTCAGTACAGAGAAGCAGTTCCCTATTGGATTATGTGTGTTAGTGTTTGTTTGGTGTATTGAAATTTTAGGTATGAAACAGATGCACCGACAGTACCGAAAATAAAAGCACACCGAAATTTTGTGAAATTACAGTACTGTAAAGCAACTTATTTTCGCTGGCGATATCATTTCGCTAATTTTGCCGCTTGGTACCAACTGGCCAAATTAAGTTGCAGGCCAAAGTGTGTCACCGAGGCAAATAATGCTTGATTGAGGCCTGGCTGCATGTGAAAGCAACACCTACCGATCGTTTCTGTCTAAACCCCAATCGGCCAAAGTATGATGACGGTCGAAAAAGTTTCAATTCGAGATTGGCCAAAGTTTCTCACCAGCCAAAATTCGTTGATATACAGTAGGCTATTTTGGCACAATTTATCAAAACCCTTCCAAGATGGAGAGCCTTTTCGTGGGTCTTTTCATAGCCATACCAATGTAGGATACCTTCCAATGCCCCTGGCGTGTTTCACCACTGTACTGTCTACAGCACATTTAGCACTGTGAGAATTGTAAAATTGTGCCAGCTAGGAGCTTGTAGATGGTCAGATGAACCACTACATGAGCGAGTAATACTGACAGTACTAAAAACTACTAAAACAATCTGCGTGCACAAACACAGGCACACACACGCACACACACACACAAGCGCGCGTGTCCGCATGTATGCACGCACACACTCACACCACACACTCACACCACACACTCACACCACCCACTCACCCACTCACCCACACACCCACTCACCCACACACCCACACACCCACCCACACCCACCCACACCCACCCACACCCACCCACACCCACCCACACCCACCCACACCCACCCACCCCCACCCCCACGCACACGCACACGCACACGCACACACACACACACACACACACATACACACACACACACACACACACACACTCACCACACACACACACACACACACACACACGGATTCAACTAAAATAACACACTCCATACATCAATATTGCTCTAGCAGAGCGCTCAGCATAACACAGTGCACCACATGATGCTGCGCGGCTTACACTTCTTCTTTTTCGCCTTTGACGCAATCTCCGCTTTCTTCTTCCAGAGTGCCACTTGCTTCCTCGCTACAGCATTCTGCTGTCCTTCGAGCTGCACGTGTACAGGTACCAATTCCCATTCACACGCGTATACCATACACATCCAAACACACACCATAAATACTCTCAAGGAAAAGGCATAAGTAAAGATGTAATTCAAAGAATGGAGTCCCTAATGATAGCTTGCATAGACCTCGGTCCTACCGGTGGGACCATCATACACAGATATGCTGCACGGCCTCTGTTCTAACATTGACTTAACCCCTGACCTAAACTGTTTCTAAGGGGCTAATGAAGGAGTCCAACATTTTTTAGACGTGATTGTACAAGGCATATTACAGTTTTCCATGACAATAGCCCATGGTTACCATGGAAACGGAGTATGGAATTTTGCATTCCACAACCATGGCAGGCTGAGAAAAACATTAGGACCTCATCACGATTGATGTGCCATGGTCAAAATTCACTTTGGACAGAGTTTCTAGCGCTCCGACAGGAGCATGTGCGGCCATTTTGACAATTGATAAAATTGCACATAAGCAATGCTCTGGACATAGTCTTGTATTTTGCACCATTAGTTTGCCTTATAAAGACCTAACCTCAACAATTGTTTCAGGAAATTCTCAACCAAAAGCGCTTTGCAGCGCGATTTCTTGCGTCCTACGAGACTAAACATATTTCGTTAATTCAGTTCAAGCTTGAGCTTATGCACGAAACCATTTGACAATTTGTATTCAACGCGAAGCAGATTCGTTTTTGGGTTTCGATCATCGCAGTGTGAGTGAGTGAATTAACTCCATGGTCACTAGAATATTTAGACTTTTGGTCTCCATCTCTTACCTGAAAGCTACTACTACCTTCGAACCAGCAGTTTGAGTTGTTGGGTATGCTGTACTCCGAATTACACCCGGCACAGTACGGATCGTGCTCAGCACCGGATTCGCTGTAGAGCACTCGCCACGGTGCATATCCGAGGTCCCGGCTTTCGCTGCTGTAGTCCTTCCACTCCTCTTCGCATGCGCACACTGGCGGTAGTTGTAAACTGAACATGACTGGCTTGTCCAGTTTCGGGTTCTCCAGCTTACCCAACTCCTCCATGATTTCCTTGCGGATAAGCTGGCATATAGATGAGATCGGCTGCAGCCAATCAGAGGCGAAGGCAACAGAGTCAGGCGAGCAATCAGAAGAGCCAGCAGCACCTTTAGGTGAGTACCGGAAGTTGATGCTGACCAACAGGGCACCTGACGAGTCGTAGTGAGCCAAGAAGATTTCCACCTTGCCTGGGAACTGGTCACGGAGCTGCTTCGGCAACAAAAACCTGGCTGTGTTGTAGGTGAACTCACAGCGAAACCGGTCGGTATTTGTGATGTTCCACTTTCTCATGAGCCGTACAAGTAGCTTGAAGTAGGAGCTATGTGGCATCGGTGTGTCCGGGGCGGGATACTTGTAGTCCATGACGTCTTCATCAGGCTTGCCTGGTGGCTGAACCATGATCAGCAACGGTGTGTCAGCCGTGGAGAAGCAGACGTCGTTTGGGTCATTGTCCGGCTGCATGGCCTCCTCGATTTTCTTCGGCGGTCGGTGTTGAAGAGCAGACGGGATGAAATACTTTGCTTGCTTGCCGTCTCTTAATTTGTACAGGAAATCCCAGTCGACCATCACGTCAAGCATCTTTTCACGTACTTCTGGTTTCACCTCGTTCCAGGCATAATCTATTAGTGGCATGCGTGCTATACCCTCCTTCCACAGATAGCCGCGCCACTCCGTCTCTTCTGTCCCTGCTTTCTTCTCCGTCTTGCCGTCACCTCCGCCAGGTTCATCCAGGTACTTGTGGCCAAAGACGAGGACGTTGATCTGCCTGATGAGCCACTGTGTGTTGTGGAAGATGATGTCACCAGGCTGCGGCAAGTTCATGTTTGCCGGCCGATAGATAATCACACGTAGTTCGTTGTAGAACCGAAGAAGACGCTCGAACTCGGATAGAGCACCGTCCATGCCGGAGTCATCCTGGATCTTGCAGGCCTTCTCCACCAGTGTCTTCATCCATCCTCGTGTTGTGTAGCCAGTGTGGGCGGGTTGTTTCTTGAGATACTCCAGTATCATCTCAAAGCGAACCCATTCCGTCGGCATCTCCTTGTCTGCCAGCACCGATGAAACAGCATCCTGCAGCTTCTCTCGGATACCTAGAACTTCTTGAGAAGCTCCGGACTCGTGGTTGTCCACAAGGAACAACCCTGCGGGATCAGTGTCATCGGTCTTGATCACACCCTTCAATGTTGGTGACCGCCGACAGAGTTTTCGCAGCTTCTCGAGGATATCGATCTTGTGCTCCGAAAGTGTCCTATCTGTCGACAGCTTGTCGGCAAAGTTCCCCACCAATATCACAGGCGGGTAGTCGAACGCCTCGCTTCCCACAGCCTTGCCTGGGTTGCTGGCAAAGTGGATGGCTGTTAGCCAGTGCCGAATGTGGTCGATGTTCTCCAGCTTCTCCGGTACATCCAGAGTCACTTCAGACACTGTACTCCCTGACAACTTCCAGTAGTTCTGCTGCTTGATGTGATCGAAGTTCTCCGAGGCGTTGAAACAGAGAATATAGATGACGTAATCTTCACCCATTAGGAAATGCTGCAGGCTTGAGAAGACTGATTGGCCGCCGCAATCCCAAATGGACACCACCACTTCTTCTTTGCGGATTTCTCGCATCAGCTCTTGGTTCGCCAAGATGACATCAACCAGGCTCTGTGTCAATTCAACAGAGCTGAGTGCTGCTTCTGGATCTGCAGTGAGTTTTGATGTTTCCTTCGATGACTGCTTGTGTCTTGGTGCAGAGCTCCCCTCCACGTTTTCTCGGTGTCCAGGCACTACGATGGGGTGTTGCTGCTTTTGGCGCTGTGGATGTTCTACTGCTGCCTCTTTCGTCGCTGTTCCCTCACGCTGGAGTCCTGTAGACTTAGCTTGCTTTGGGACTTTCGCCGCTGGCTCGGCCAGTCTTGCAGCTTCTTGCTCCTGTTGCTGCTGTTCTTGCTCTTGTTGGTATTTCTTCTCAAGATCTTCAGCCTGATCAAGGATGTCCGGAGCGCAGAGGAGTGCAGCATTGAACTTCCAATCTGTCAGGTTTCCTCCGTCCTGGAGCATATTGCCATGATCAACAACGAGCAACGGTGTACTTGGCTTCTTGTCCACGAACTGCTTGTTCTTGAGCGAATCCGCCAGGCTCGTCTTGCCGGTTCCAAACTGACCGCAGAGGCTGATGCGGATACGGCGTACTCTGGTCGAACCGCTGCTCAGTGTGCTATTCGTAGCTTCATGCATGGCCTCGTCGGACGGACCCGTACCTCGTTTTGCTGCAAGTGATCAACAACAACAACAACAACAAGTACACATACGCACACACATGAACACACACATATGCGTGCAGGCACGTACAAGCATGCTCAGCCACATACACATACACATACACACAAACACAAACACAAACACACACACACACACACACACACACACACAAACATGCATGAACGAAAGAACGAACACAAGCATATACACAAACACGTAAGCAAAGCGTGTGACCAAAATCCGTGACGAGTGCTTCGACATTAGGCATCTGTAATTGTATTAAATTTTATGGATTCTCCACAGGCTTTTGCCTCGCATAAGGGGAGGGGCTTCAGGCAAAACATACCATCAACTCATTATTTATTGTGTGCGAAATACCCTAAACATCCCTGGAAAGAAAAAAAACAATAAATTGTTCGAAAGTTCAGTCAGGGAAGTGAACTGTCTGAAAAGAGAGAAAAAAATGCTAACCCCACCAGGACTCGAACCCGGGACCTTGCTTGTTATGAGCGATGCTCACACCATCTGAGCTATGGAACCAGGTCGAACCTGGAAGGCACGTTTTTCACTGCAAAGGCAGCTCACAACACGTGCCACACATACTGATTGCACTTGGTCTTTTTCCCTCAGGGGACCAAATTCCAACCACGGTCAGTTTCTGGAACGTACTACGAGAGGTGAAAGAAAGTGATCGGTTTTGAACGGATTGGGAGAACTTCAAATTCAAAGGATCTTTCAGGGAAATGAACTGCCTGGAAAGAGAAAAGAATGCCAAACCCACCAGTACTCGAACCCAGGACCTTGCTTGTCATGAGAAATGCTCTAAAGCCTAGTTCACATTCGACGCAACGCTGACGGTACGGGACGTATTGGCCTGTCGGGACGGCTGGGTTCAGCTGTAAAATCTTGTACAATTCGTACAACTCGACATGCAGCAGTCGTTGCGATGTTCAACAGCGAACGGAGCGAGTCATAAGGCATGATCCGTGACGGGATGACTTTCGGACCTACTTGAAGTAATTTCTTGTTTTTCGGGACTTCTTGTCAATTATTTCTCCTTGAATGAAGCGAAATCAAGTCACAATACCAGTTTTTCAGGAAGACTAAAAAAAGTAGCCCTGAAAGTTGTGTCATTCAAATAATAGCACCAGGAAATAATAAAACAGTTCATCTGTCAAGCCGCTGAACTATCCCCAAATACGATAAGTGACAAGGGATCTTATGAAAAGAATTCGGGTGGACACACCCATTCCCATAGCGCTGCACATCACATCCGAACCAGTTCCGTTATTTCTACAACGTTTCGGCACTTGGCCATGGTCAGGTAATAACAATGAATACCGTGGAAGCCACACAAGAGCAGTATATACGCAGAGTGTAGCGCCAAAAAAGATGCGAATTATGTCACCTAGTATGCAGAAGGGGTGGGGGGGGGGGGGGCAGAGAGAGAGAGAGAAAAGGCGCAACTAGCACATCACGGAGGAGAAGCAGCAGAAGATAGCGCGCATTGTGCTCTGTGAATGGCGTTACGCAGAGTGTAGCGCCAAAAAAATAAAATAATGATGCGAGTTATGTCACCTCTATACAGAGGGGGGAGAGAAGGTGCAACTGTGCACATCACGGAGAAGAAGAGCGCGCCGTTGTGCTCTACGAAGTGAGGGTACATGCCAAATAATTATGGTGTTAATTCTAGCACATTAAAGGAGGGGAGCACGGAGGCCCATGCGCCAATCCACTATGAGGTTAAACTTCCATGCCAAACTGTTACCACCAGGGACGCGACGAGGCATCAAGAACAGAATGGATTTGAGTGACCCGCCTCATATTATATTCAGTGATATTGAAGTAGCAGCAGGGGAAGCTAAGAAAATTCACAACAAATCCCATCCGGTGCTTATGTTCACATGGGGCTTAGCATCATGAATCTCAATCGCCTCGCGCAGTTTGCGACAAGCTCGATCAGGCTCTCTTCCTATTACTTCAACTGCAGAGAATGCACTTTGCCCATAGTTGAGCTTGCATCCAGGGTGAGTGGTACGAAAATGTTGGCCTCATGGCTTGTCGAGTTCCTGTCGTCTTGCCTCACCATTATGTTCTTCCAGGCGAGTTTCCAGAAAGCGGACAGTCTCACCAACATATTGTTCCGGACATTCTTTCCACTTCCGCTGATATACAACATTCTTCTGCATACATACATCCTGTCCCCCGGATATACACGAGATACACGGCCCCTTTGGGCGACCTCTCTTCTTTCGGTTGTAGCGGATTTGCAGCCTTGACACATAGAGGAGAAACGAGGGCGGAGCGACACAATGTGCGCCTCAGGTTACCAGTGTGCTCATATACGACTCTAATCGGAATTTTATACTTTCTGATTCCTTTATTCACTGCTTGAAGTACTTTATCCGACTTATATGGAAGCTTTAGAAATGCGCAGCATGGGTTGGCACGGCGACGGCGCTTTGGCATTATGGAGGCAGTGCGTGCCTCTTCAATGATTCTCTCTGGGTAATTGTTCAATCTTAATTGTTCATGAACCCTCGCTTCACTTTCTGCACGCATTCTGGTATTCTATGAGAGCCTCTGAGCTCTTAGGAATTGTGACGAAGCAACTGCCAATTTGATATGGTGGGGAACTGCCGAAGTATAATCAATCAGTAGACCGCTAGCACATGCCTTCTGGTACAGCTTGTATGCCAGCTTGCCTTCCTGGATCATAATTGTGATATCCATATAATTTATGGAGCCATTCACCTCGCTGAGCTCATATGTGAAGTTGGTACTCGGGTGTGCAGAGTTGAAATGCTGCACAAACCGCATCAAGCTCTCTCTGCCATGGGTCCATAGCAGCAGGATATCGTCGATGTAGCGTTTGTAGAGGAGAGGTACTAACGGAGAATCCTGCAGAAGCCTGGCCTCAACCGTATGCATGAATAGAATCGCAAATGGGGGTGCAAGATTGTTACCCATTGCAACCCCGTCCACTTGGTGATAGATCTGATGGCCGAATCTGAAATAGTTGTGGCTGAGAACAAACAGCAGCAGATTCCGGACCCCGCTTACACTCAGCCCAAACATGTCGATCCGCTGGGAATACTGCTGCAGCATATCCACTACTGCCTGAACGCCCTCCCGAATAGGTATGCTCGGATATAACCCGACTACATCCATGGACATAACAATGGTGCCATCGGGGGCGTTCAATCCCGGACATGCGTCACAGATGTGGGGTATTGCTTCCGTCGTGTTAGCCAGGTGGGCCAGGACAAATTGAATGAGCTGCTGTAGGTTGTGCTCCAATACAATAGATACTCCAGTCGTTGGGCTGTCGCACGCTGCTACCACGGGTCGCAATGGTAAGTTCTGCTTATGGTCCTTTGGAAGACCGTACCACTCGGGGAACTTCGTACTGCTTGGTAGGATTGACTTCAGGAGTTTTGAATCCATGTTCTTGCACTCTGACAGTATTACTTCTCGTGTCTTGGTCTCGTAGGACTCTATGGTCAAATCTACTTTCTCATACATGATCATGTTCGATAATATGTCTTCTGCTTTCTGCAAATACAGCTCCTGTCTCATAGCAACGAGTTTTTTACTTTTATCCGATGGTTTGATGATGGTTTCTTGGTCTGTGCGAAGTCGCTTCAGCTCCACCCGCTTCTCCTGCGTCAGATTGGGATTAGAGGGTGTGTGTCTGTCATATGCCCGTAACACCTCGTCGCGGAAGTTGGCCATATTCCTTTCGTCTTTGTCGTCCATCTGTGGGGGCTGCTTAAAGCCACGCTTCATCAGCTTCCACAATTTCTTGTCCTGTCTGATCTCTGGCGGTGGGTCTTCCTCTTTGAGGTCCACACCCTGAGGCTGGGGCTGTTGCCACCGGAGGGTGAACGCCATCCTCTCTACCGATGTCTTAACATCTGTTCGTTCTTGCTTGGTGAGCCTCCCCGTCGACGGGACAAAGCTAGGTCCATGTTCCAGCAGATGCCTTGTCTGGTCGGACACACAGTCGTCCACCACCAACGCCCGCTCATGGACTGGCTCAGCATTGGCCGTATGCCCACTGGGTGATGCAACACCAACGGCGGCAACATGAGTTGGGCCGCGGGGTGAGCTGTTGGTTCCCGCCACACGTTGATCCGCCTCTCGAAGTCCAGAAATCTTCCGATTTAGTCTGGCGTTGGAACTTATTCGTTCTTCGGTAACCACTGCACGTTGAAGAGAACGGATCAATAGGTAGTCCGACTGTGTAAACGTCCACAGTTGCTCTCTGGACTGCTTGTATCGCCTCCCGCGGTAATCTTTCCCTGCGCATTTGTCTTCGATGGCATCGCAGAGAAGACGGCGGCAGTACTGATGTCTCTTGTGTTCCCTGATGGTCTTGTGACTCGTTGATGCTGGCTTCCGCACACAGTTCGAATTGAATCTGGGGATCAATCCCTCTCGCCGGCACTGCAAAAGAAAAGACAATTGACACTCGCTCCTCTGCAGCTTCCAAGACCATTGTACAAACCGCCACGCTGCCTCGCTCCGGGAAGAGGAGAACCAAGTTTGAAGAAGGGCTGAGGCTTCAGCAAGGGATCTCATCTTGCTAAAATTCAACTCAAGTCGTGTGAGCCATTCTGCGAGTTATCATGGGCAGCGTAGTGTTCGAAATGGTAAAAAAATTCAAAGCACTAATCAGAGTAGTCGGCACACGCCTCCTGTTCACACTCAAAATACTGCAGTTGTGTATGCTTGCGTCCCCGTCTACACCCTTCTACGGTATGAAAAGTTGAACTGATCCAACTCTTCCCGTCGCTTCCCGATCCCTATGGTAGTACGGTTGCGTTCCCGTTCCTGCCGTTCACATTGGACGCCGTCAGACGGTCCCATGGCTTCCGGTCGATCCTTAAGTCGTGTACCGTCACGCCCTGTCGAATGTGAACTAGGCTTTACCATCTGAGCTACGGGACCAGGCTGAACCTAGAAGGGGCTGACAAGCACTTCACTCCAAAGGCAACTCACACCACGTGCCACATATACATGACATTGTACTGATTGCACTTGGGTCTTTCCCCTCTCCCAGTTAGAGTATGGCTCATGACAAGCAAGGTACCGGGTTCAAGTCGTGTTGGGGGGGGGGGGGGGGGGGGGGGGGGCATATTTTTCTTCTCTTTTCACGCAGTTCACTTCCCCGACTGATTTTGTGAGTTTCGAAGGTCTTCTAATCCCCTACATTTAGAAGTATTGTTGGTCTTACAGTCGATAGAAATGATATGTACGAACTCGTATCACGACAACAGAAGAACAATACGTATGGATTTTAACTATGTTCACACACCGATCCAAGTTACGTAGTAATGTTTAGTCATCTAACTTTCGATTGGCGACTTGCCGAGTCCCTCGAGCGAATCGATCAATTCTGCCTCTCCAATGACGGCCATTACGGAGGCTGTCTTCAAGGGTACTGGCGGTAGCAGCGGGGTTACGTCCTGAATTTGGGGTAGACCATCACCATATTCTGCTACAACATGTCCTCAAGCACCAAGTGGTCTTGAATAAAGGTATCCACTAAAACTAAAAAAAAAATAGCCGAATCCAAACTCGTGGTAGGAAAGCACACAGGAAAGCCTCCATAGGCCTTTTCGCTACGCTACCAGCACTGAGACATATTGGGAATAATCCCTGCCCTCGCAGAAACTCGAATGAAGCCACCACGAAGTGTCACTTGCTGAACAACAGCTCAACATGACGAGGAAGACGAATTCATCCACAACAAATTAGCAAAGAGTGCAACAGTAGCGGAAGATGGCCCAACTTAACCCTTTAAGAGCCACAGGAAAAGTTCAAAATTCTGCATTTTTTCGTGTTCCTTGGATCATAGCTTCAGTTCTACTCACTCAATCCTCACAATCTAGGGCTTCCTGGAAAGGTCTCCGCGAGAGGAAGAGAATGAGGTCGATCATGATAGCCAGCACACCGTCTATCCAGCGCTAGATCGCAGCGACAGTACGAAAAATGCCCCAAATGCGTCCAATTGCGTCCCGCTCCAGATATTTCATTTTACTCGATCGTGGAGTTCCAATTTTTTCGCTGTGTACTCTTGACAATATCAACCGTGAAACCCTTGCAAATTCGAGTAAACCAGCGTGACGAAAAGTCTCAAAATTCTCAATACTAAAGTCGCACTGCGCGCTTTTGAAATTGCCGCGATCGCGGCTCAACTTACGAGTGATTTATCTCAGGAACCGTTGCTCGCAGCGCTTCGCGGATTGTTTCTACCGACAGGTGAGAGTTTTCTCTTCGCCCTGGATATTTGGATCACTGGATTTGAGCGAGATTGGACTGAGTTACGATCTTTTGAAGTTTTGCATTTGAATGCGTCGTTTACGACGCATTCAAGTATGGGGCGGCTCTTAAAGGGTTAACAGGGCAGACAGTGCACGCGAGTTTCACATGTGCATCGATGCATCGTCGCACAAGTAGAAAATCACGACGTAGCAATTGGGCACTCGGGGATTTCAGGTATGCATTGGAGTTGGAAAATCAAGAATTGAAAGAGTTCACTTCGGGGCACAGCCGCTGCCGTCCGGCACCTGAAAATGCATGTAACCGTGCATGCACCGGAAGTACGTGAGCTCATAGCAGCGCGAGAGAAATAAGTTTTTCATGGGAGCGTGGCACACATGTGAAACTCATGTGCACTAGCTGCTCAGCACAAGAGATCGTTCTGGCCCAATCTGGGCCATCTTGCGCTACTGTTGCACTCTTTGCTGATTTGTTGTTGACCAGGTCTTCTTACTCGTCATGTTGGGCTGTTGTTCAGAAAGTGACGCTTCGTGGTGGCTTCATTCGAGTTTCTGCGAGTGAAGGGATTATGCCTATGAAATCTCAGCACTGGTAGCGTAGCGAAAAGGCACGTGGAGACACTCTGTGTGTGATTTCCTGCTACGAGGTTGGATTCGCTTAACTCAATCTGTCGTTAAATGCAAGGTCGTTACATCCAATCACCTCTGTAATCAATCCTGTGACCAGGCTCCAGAAAATGTCACATGAATGACAATGCATTGAGCCAAACATACACACACAGGCAGAACACATCTACAGCACTGTCGGGCGCCGAAGAAAAAGGGGGGGGGGGGGGCAGGGTTCTAGCCTAGCCCGTTCTTATTTTTCGCGAATACAGCAGTTTTATTCTTCTTCGATGGTACAGTCATACATGTGCATGTACATGTCATTGTGTGTACGAAAGTTTACATTTGGACTGTACATGCATGCACCAATGCATGACTGTTCCATAGTGACGCATACGCACATCTGCTTTATCACATAATTTGACTAGCCATTAAACCGTGGAAATATACCAATGAAACCTAGCTGCATGTATGCAGAGTAAATACGTCTGAGTTCTACTTCTGAGTTCTACTTCTGAGCGTACATTATAATGCGCAGTACAGGTTACGTTATTCTCTGTGAAAATCCAGACTAGAAACTTCTTTAAAACTGGTGAAATTCTAGCCTGGACGCTCTTCAGCTCTCCGTTCTTCGGGGCCCGACTGTACTGTAGAACAGCATCGCAAGAAAAAAACAGACACTCACCTGCCAAAGATGCAGATCGTGTGCCAGCCGACGAGTCTGTAGCCGTGTGATCCTTTTCAGATGGAGTGGCAGAACCCTCGTTGGGTTGGCTAGGCGATGACGTTGCTATGAAAGCAGTCGCAGATGCGGGGGAAGCCGCAGCATTGGCAGCAATTGCAGAAGTCTCGGCAGTGTGGGAGCAAATCCATTCCTATAAGATATTAAGATATTTAAACGAATTGGCAAAAGAGTAGTATTTCAACTGAAAGTTGCCGACAGGGTGCCCGGTACAGCGGTAGAACAAGCCTATTTTAAATATACCCGGATATTCGCCGAAGGACTCGGCATTCCTAGATCACCACTCAGTGATGTATTCAAGCTGAAGATTGTCACAAGAAAACATTCTTACAACCAACAGATTGTTGCTTGATGATGTGTAGATGCATGATTATTGAGAATGACCACGTGGCTTATCTCCAAAATGTCTATTGCCATTTTACAAGTACAAGTACACGTACATGTGCTAACATTCACGTGCCAGCGTGAGTATGTGTGTGCAAGCACTCCCGCTTCTGCTCTGCACAAAACCCCTATCATCCTGATCACGGATGGGTGCTCGAAGTTCACGGTTCAAGGTGAATATGCACATAATATACCAGTATGCATGTGTCCGGGCCAACAAATGCTCTAACTTTGTCAAAGTCCTTGTCGTCCTCGGATGGAAGAATGTTTTTCAAGGATTTTAAAATGGGAGTACTTTTCTACAGACGTGACTAACCGTAGCAAGTGACTGCCCACTGACAATCTCCGCTTTCAGCTTCCAGAGTGCCACTTGCTGCCTCGCTATATCATTCTGCTGTCCTTCGAGCTGTACATGTGCAAGTACGAATTCCCATTCGCGCGCGTATATCATACACAAAAAAACACACACCATAAATAAATACACGTACTGTCGAAGCAAAGGCATAAGCGCTCTAAAACGTGACTCACAAAATAGAGTGCTTGAAAATAGGACTTGAGCTTACAAAAGTTAGCAATAGAATGAGCCTAAACATCTTTCGTTCCTTCAGCTGGAACTTGAGCTTATGAACAAAACCACCTGACAATTTGTATTCAACGTGAAGCAGATTTGTTTTGGGATTTTGATCGGCGGAATGCGAGTGAGTGAATTAACTCCATGGTCACTAGTATGTTTAGACTTTGGTCTCATTTCTTACCTGGAAGCTACTACTAGCTTTGAACCAGCAGTTTGAGTTGTTGGGTATGCTGTACTCCGAACAACAACCGGCACAGTACGGATCGTGATGAGTACCGGATTCGCTGTAGCGTACGCGCCACGGTGCGTATCCGAGGTCCCGGCTTTCGCTGCTGTAGTCCTTCCACTCCTGCTCTTTGCATGCGCACACTGGCGGTAGTGGTAAACTGAACATGACCGGTTTGTCCAGTTTCGGGTTCTCCAGCTTACCCAACTCCTCCATGATATCCTTGCGGATATGCTGGCATATCGATGAGATCGGACGCAGCCAGCTAGAGGCGCTAGCAGCACAGTCAGGCGAGCACCGGAAGTTGATACTGACCAGCAGGGCACCTGACGAGTCGTAGTGAGCCAAGAAGATTTCCACCTTGCCTGGGAACTGGTCACGGAGCTGCTCCGGCAGCCACAGCCGAAACCTGGCTGTGTTGTAGGTGAGCTCACAGTGACTCCGGTCGGTATTTGTAATCTCCCACTTTCTCATGAGCCGTACAAGTAGCTTGAAGTAGGAGCTGTGTGGAATCGGTGTGTCCACAACGGGATACTTGTAGCCTAGGAAGTCTTCATCAGCCTTGCCTGGTGGCTGAACCATGATCAGTAACGGTGTGTCAGCTGTGGAGAAGCAGACGTCGTTTGGCTCATTGCCCTGCTGGAAGCTGCGCATGGCCTCCTCGATTTTCTTCGGCGGTCGACGTTGAAGAACAGACGGGATGAAGTACTTTGCTTGCTGGGCGTCTCCGAATTTGTACAGGAAATCCCAGTCGACCAACATGACCAGCATCTTTTCACGGACTTCTCGTTTCACCTCCTTCCAGGCACAGTCCATTAATTGCCGATTTGCTATTCCCTTTGTCCACAGAACATTGCGATACCTGGTCTCGGCTTCATTCGCAGTCCTGCCACCACCTCCGCCAGGTTCATCCAAGTACTTGTGGCCAAAGACGAGGACGTTGATCTGCCTGATGAGCCACTGTGTGTTGTAGAAGATGATGTCATCAGGCTGCGGCGAGTTCTTGTTTGCCGGCCGATAGATGATGACACGTAGGTCGTTGTAGAACCGAAGAAGACGCTCAAACTCGGATGGAGTACCGTCCATGCCGAAGTCATCGCGGATCTTGCAGGCCTTCTCCACCAGTGTCTTCATCGAGTCTCGTGTTGTGTAGCCAGTGTGGGTGGGTTGTTTCTTGAAATACTCCATTATCATCTCAAAGCGAACCCATTCCGTCGGAATCTCCTTGTCCGCCAGCACCGATGAAACAGCATCTTGCAGCTTCT